TTTCTTCAGTTATATTAGATCTGTATAATAATTAATTACATTAAAAATATAATAAGATATAATAAAATAAAAAACATAGTAAAATGTGAAAAAATCATATTTTTATTAATATATAATATTATATATAATATTATATATTATATATAATATTATATATATATTCAAATGTTTTTATATTTAATATTATGTTTTATGTTTAATATTAATTATTCGACATTAAATATCTTCCTCTCTAAATACTTTTCTTCATTCATATATCTTTAATTCATATTAGATCATAGATCTAGATTAGTACAATAATTAGTTGTATTAAAAATATATAATGAAATATAATAAAACCAAAAACTTTGTAAAATATGAAAGAATAATTATTAATATTCTATATTTAATATTTTCATTAATCGATACAATATCTTCCTCTAAATATATTTTTTTTATTCACTAAAAGAAATGGGCGTTAGGAAATATCTCGTCAATCTAACACATAAAAGTAATACCTGATACAGTCCTTTGAGTGGAGTGCCTCTGAGCAGCAGGCATATTAGCAGTTCGTTACATTTTGCATGTATGTCCCGTACGGCTGTCGACAAGTTATTCGGACGTGCACCTATCATCTCATCGCTGTCGATACACGCGGCTAAAGCGAGATATCCCGTACAGCAAAGCACGTTAAAGGCGTCCGACCAAAATTGCTCAGATCGCGCCAGTGTCGGTCGACCCTGTCCCGATGTTATATCCGTTTTCAATTTACATTTTAAATTTCCGTCGACAATTAATCTCACGCGCAACTAATTAAATCATGAAAGTGTGCCGCTTTAATAAATCGCGGACGGGAGAGTGCGCATAAATAAATGAGGCATGCAGAAGATAAGTCAATAAATCGATTTTACGACTCGCACACCAACGAGCCAGCCTGTGATTCATGCTGACAATAAAGCATCCTGCGGATAAGAGAACAAAATAAATTCCAAATTTAATCGGGACTACTACTGCAGTCTTACGTGGGTAAACCGCGACGTTATGATAGATAGCGATTCATTTAGCATTCCTGAAAATACGCGCTGTGCCATCTTAGGCGAGACCGTGTTCCACAAGTCCGCCTTGGTGCCTGGAAATATCAATGGATTGTTTTCGCAAGCGTTGGATAAGATGTTACGAACTGGCCTTATCCTCGAAATTAACTTCACCTTGCATGTACAACCACCACATCTGTATAACGTAGGAGCACCGTTCCCTCTCGAAGAATGGCTTATTGCTGTGCCAACTGAGCGAGTCCGCCTCGTTAAGGATGTACAAGGATATTAATCGACAGTGCAGATCGAGCAGTCTCTCCGCCACAGCTTCGGCCATTTCGTGAAATTCTTTGTAAGATTTGTTGATTCTCTCACTATTAGAAGAAAGAAAGAGAGAGAGAAAGAAAGTGACGGTAAAATAAGAAACTGAGAAAAGATACTTGTGGGATATAAAGTTTATTATTGTAAAATAAAATTTACTTTGGTGAAATAAAATTTATTTCTATGAACAAATTTTATATCCTATGAGTAAACTTTATATCCTATGAGTAAACTTTTAAGTATTTTTTCTCAGTGTACTAAAAGTTATTGCAACTTTTATAATATCGAGGCACCTCGATTGAGAGGAAATTGCTCCTTTCGCGTGCTGATTGTAGCACCATAAGCAATTTCGTATGAGCGCTGCTGCGCCCAAAGTAGCGGTGAGCACGGTGAGATCGGCGTGATCCAAGGATTCTTGAATCAACATGTGCAAATGCTCTGGAAGAAAAAAAAATTCGAAGATCGCCTGATTTATTTCAACTTTTTTCCCTCGATCCCTCCTCAAACTTAAAAATTAAAACATCATTGAAAATAATTTAAAAGACATGCACAAATGCATTTTCCTTGCGATACAGAGCAGATAGTAATAATTTGGTACAATGGTCTAAAACACGAGAATAAATTATTTAATTAACTTAGAGTCCATTTTCTCTCGCTTTAGGGCGAATTCAAGCCCAAATGTAATTACAGTGTTAGCCGACACCGAAATGCAAACAGATCTTCCTCTTTCAGTGAATTGAATTTCCAGGAACATATATAAATCCTCATTCTTTAATTAATTTTTAACAGTTTTCGGAGAGCAAAATTTTTTATCGCATGGTGTTACATAATGTTACGAAAACTTTTAGTGCACAGCTGAAAAACGAAGATGATATATATATTTGTTTTATATGAAAAAAGAGTAATAATTTAAGTATAAATTATTTATTATTAGCTGAAATTAATTCCTGTTAATTTTTTTTATATTCATTACTAAGTTATTTTATATTGCATTTAAATTATTATTTGCTATTACAATATTTTTGCACGATTTTGTGGCTAAAATTAATTTCTGTTAACTAAATATCTAAAAGTTTTAATATAGTTTCGTTTAGTCACTAAGTAATATTGAATTACTAAGTCCTTTGAAGTAATAGAAATTAAAAAGAAAATCGAGTTTTTTCTGAGAGGAAAAACGTTTTTTGATAAATCGATATTTTATCTTTTCTTTCTATTTCGCATTGCCTTCAAAGTAAAAATACCAATTCCCAGACACTTCCTAAATCCATGACATTTTTATTATTTCTTTTAAATACAAATATTTAATCTTTCAATATAAAATATATATCTTTTTTATGTTGACAGTTTTATTTATATATTTAAGGACCAAAACAATGAGAATGTCCAAAATTAGGTACGCGTATCTAGGAATTGGTATCTTTTTCATTAAGTTTCGCATCGCATTCACCATAACGATAAACATTCCGTTCAATGTCTCATCTTTTCAAATAGGTCATACCTAGCAACTGATCAGCGGTGTCGACTACGACCAGAATAAAATCGGTTGGGTGGATACGCTTAATGGCACCGTCTTCGCTGTCGACGCTGGACGCGCTTCCGTTCCCGGCAGAACTTAAACCGGAAGGTCGTTTAAAAGCGGTCGCAAAATCCGCTTCCCACCATGTGACGATCTTAATCGCGGCGAACGAAGCGTGCCGCGGAAAATCGAGCTTTCCACCGCTGATGCGTAAACACAGAGGCTCCCTCAGGACGGTCTGCATTTCCTGTATCGCAAATTACGGCGCCGCATACGAGGCAAGGTATTAATTACGTCGGTACGCCGTATTTAAATAAGAGTCAGCGAACAATTATGATAAATTAATTGCGTTTCGTTGATTACGCGCGCTACTAACGCCTACGCCTTCGGTACATATACGTTTTCCTTCTTGATTGATGTAATTGCGATTTGGTATACTTATACATGACAATTAAACGGCTTTTAATTTGCTAAGTTCAATTGTTAATTAAACGATTCTTTTTATTTCTTTCGCTCATATCAATCGTCAATCAAATGGTCTTTAGTTAAATTCGTTGAAAATAATCGTCAATAAAATGTTCTTCGGTTATTCGAATGAATTGTCAATTAGTTGAATTGAAACTTATCTATTCAAATCAATGATCAAAATAAGAAAAATTTAATTGATATTTTTACAACTTTGGCCTGGAATCAATTAAATGCATAAATTCAGCTTTCTTTTCCGTGATAATACGTAGGCGCGCGCGCTCACGTTTGTGTTATTATACTTTCATACAGAATATTTCCCGACGCGAAGATGATGTTATATATGCAAATTATTGTAATTGCGCGAAAATTAACTAAAACATCGGCTGATCTCGTCAGATTGTGATTTAAATAATTAGTTGTATTAAAAATATAATGAAATGTAATAAAACCAAAAACTTTATAAAATATGAAAGAAATAATTATTAATATTCTATATTTAATAGTTTCATTAATTGATACAGTATCTTCCTCTAAATATGTTTTCTTTATGATTTAAAAGTCGAGCCGTGTCCAGTGAAACGCGATAATGACCGATAATTGAATTGTTCAATTTCCACACGTATGTGCGCCGCTATCCCATTTTCGATCGCGGCCAATAAATCAATTGCCCTCCTCCTACTCCCATCAAGTTATACGCGGTAAATGGGATAAATACGGGGTAATGCGCTTTCGATATTAAATCCGTTCTGAAATCGTCGACAAAATTGACATAATCGACTATCACACTGAGAAAAAATGACATAATAATCTATCACACTGACATAATAATCTATCACACTGAGAAAAAATGACCGATACTTATAACTATAATCACGTAGAGAAATAATTACTAGAAATTATAGTCAAGAAAAGCATGTTTTTAAATTAAATTCTACTACAATATGTTAGTGATAATACTATTTTCGTGTTAGAACAATCAAAAAATATTGTTGGGGCCAAAATTAACTATAATTTTAATAATATCAAACATTTTTTCTCTCTCAATATTGTTAAAAGTATCTAAAAAGTATTGCATAAAAAACGACGCGGATTCGTAATTCTATTGATTTTTTCGTAATTCGCGAACTATGTAAAATACGTGAAACTATGTGAAACTATGTGAAATTGTGAACTAACGACGGATAATTAATACGGTTAGTTAATTAATACCTGGTAATATTGCATATCTCGTTGTAACAAAATTCTTACGCGATCCACTAAATTTCCATCCTCCATAATCTCCATTTTTGCAGTCTGTTAATAATAAAGGAAACAATTACTGTACGATTTGATGTTTGAACTTATTGCGCATAATATTACTGGCGCAAGTAAATAAGTGCGACTTATAAATAAGGCTAGAATTAAGAACGATTTCTTAACATAAAATGTGTGCCTTTCCTTTCAACCACAAATTATCTGGCGGACGTTAATTTGGCTTCTGTAATTGTATTTTACCTGCCAAAACTCCCGATTCTCGGAAGTTTATAGAGGGATAAGACTAGAAGTATATAGAGGGATAAGATTAGATTCTTTTAAATCAGAGATTAGAGAAATATTAATGTACAAAATCATCAGTCTAATTAACACTGATGTGGGCAGACATATCATCTCCTTTGAAATTACTTGCTATTTTGCAGATAATTTGCATTTTCTACAGATGTTCCAATATAAAGCATAAATAATAATAATATATCATGCGCAGAGATACATTGCCATGGCTGTGCAAATACAACAAATGTGATCGTCTATAACATATTATATTTACTTACATCAAGAATCTATAAGCTACCACATGTAATGTCAATATTCTTCTGCAGTAGTTTTGTACAAATTTATGTACAAATTTTACAAATCAGTCCTTTAATGATTTCTGTACATATGTATCATATATATATTATATATTCTCCGCCGCGAGATCGTGTGCTGTGGAATATTCTATACGATGTAAGTAACGTTGGGAATTAATTAAACACATCAATGCAACTTTCTAACATCATAATTTGATTGCATAGATATGCATTTGTATTATCACACTTCCACATAGAATGGTTCCAGATGTAAAGATAATATCATATGCAAATTATAATAATTGCATCAAAAATTAATAAAAACCAATTTATCTTGATTTGAAAGTCATTTGTCCACAATATAAACCTTAATATTATATATATAATATTAAGTATTATATATAATAGGCTTGTGCTAAATCATAATTAAATCTTCACTAGCATTAATCTCGGGAAGCAAGACTATCCATCACAGCTTGTTTCTCTCTGCCACTATAGGAACACTTGTCAAAGCGCACTTGACTCCTCACAATTGCTGGTATCTCATTATTGAGCAATTCGTGTATCGATTTGCCATCATGTTTATATATCCATTGACCATTTTTAAAATCATAACGTTTAGGTCCAGACTTTGGTGAGGACAGCCAGATCTGTTTATTTGGAGTTTGACGATTTATAACATAAGTACCATACGGTTTGCCAAACTTGACAGTCAGTACACCATCCTACAAACAGATATTTTATAAATGTAACAGATATCTATGTATTGTATATGTATCTTTTAACAAGCACACATACTCCAAAAAGTACATCAGCATCTGGTAGATGGCTTGCTGCTTCAATCAATTCTTCGAAATACTCAGTTAATGACTCCAACGTCTCATTACAGATTTTATGATATTGCACAGTATTAAGTTCACTGATAAAATTATGCAAGTAAATTTTTAACATTAATAAAGCATGTAAACAATAAACAATAACTGATTCTAAATTATGTGTTCTTTATGTGTTCTTTCTTGACAAGTTGGTGCAAAAAATTTGTTATTTTTCTATTAAATTCTCGTATGAAATCTGAGTATTAAAAGGAAATGTTCGTTTTACTCATAAAAATTTACTAATCCCTTAAAATTTGAAAATTGTCTTTTCTATTTTATTTTACAAACACAACAAACCTTTTGCAGTAACTTGGAATTTTACAGAAATAATATGAATATTTACAATTCTGTCGAATATGATGAATCAGAGCTTGAACTAAATCTCTGTATAGATGCTCGAAGCGGTTTTCTATAATGTTTACTTAAAAATCGCGTTGAATTACGACTAACATAACCTCCAACGTAGCTGTTACATCTATTAAATCGCGACACAACTCGTCCGATTGAGGATTTGTTGAATAAACTACACGGCAGTCTTGAAATTATGCCAGATCTTCTTATAATGGTGAACATGATAGTCTCCTTGAGGTTCTATCGATTAAACAAATTCCACGGCTAGCGTGAAACACGGAGATTCCTGAGAGTAGTGGCGCTTTCATAGATCTGCTATGGAGCTCCGTTTGACAGCAGCAGTTTTCTATTCCAACATGACCTGCGAATGTTAATATTTTTATATTATTGCAAGAAAATATTAAAAATATATGTAAAGTAAATATCCCAATAGCTAACCTAATAAATAAGAAACCAGCTTTACATTTTTATTAATAAATAATTAATTACTAATATAGAATTACTAACAAAACTAATATTTATAGAAAATTTTGATTTCAAGCAATCACAAAATGTAACTGAAAATAAAATAATCAATAAATATTAATTATAATTTTAATGAGATGTATTAGATAATGCTGGTTGTATCAGTACTTGAACTATGAAATGAATTATGTTCTAATCAGCAAATATAATTCAATGGTTAAATGCCTATTTAATAATATTACAAATTGGCATAAAAAATATCTTTTAGCAAAATTTCAGATTCTTTCTTTTTATTAGAAATATTAAATATAAATATATTATTAATGTTTCAATCACTGGGACATTGTTCAATTACTAAAATATTTAATAAAAAAGTATTATTACCTTACATAAAGTATTGTTAAAACTCATTAAAACGCGGTAGGATTCATTTGGTCAAAATTTTACTTAGTAAACTGCGGAGCAGTAATATTATTGCGTGATAGACCGACTGTGACAAATCAACATCGCAAATTGAAACGAATGGTGACAATAAATATTTCTTTATTCAGAGACGTATATGTCTGTTATAATATCCCCATTAATTCTCATAAACACATATTCGTAAAATATTCTGTTTTATGTTTCAGTTTTATAATTTATATCGAATATATGCATTTTGTGAATTAGTTAAATCGTAGATCATAAATACGATGGCATTACATCGTATTTAATTTTGTCATTCAATATCGCTTGATATTGAATAATTATTGTAAATTGGGAGCGAACAATGACACAGTAACGATAATTCGGAATGTGCAATCTATGCTTTTATTGGGTCGCGCATTAATATTCATGTAAATGATAAATTAGCATTAATTTTATGTCAGGTGTGAAAATTAGCAATACACAAACTAACATATAATGCAGAGTCGCACTGACATTTCGCTGCATTAATAGTCAAATCAGATGTTCTATTAACTTTAAATTTAACTTAGTTAAAAAAAAAAAAATATATATATATATATATATATATAACTAATCGACACAATCTTGATAATATATATTATATTATTTTAAATCTATTCATTGTGTAAAGGCGTATTTATGAAAAATCAGCTAAAAATAATGCCAATATCAACAATAATCCAAATGTCTAGATTGCAAAAAATTTTTCATGTTTGACAAAATGGAAGGTGAAATTATCTAATTTCAAAGAATCAGTGACTTTTACGAATAAAATGAATATTTCTTTCAAAACTCAAACTTTCTACGAGAATTTAATAGGAAAACGCCAAATCTTATGCACCAATCTGATAATTAGAAAAAAAAACATTTAAAGCAATCCTAAATTGCAATCTTAATTGAAACAATACAACTGGATCTCTCTGTACAAGAACGCTATGAGATCGGCGAACGCGACTCGGTTTTATCGAGGGAATCCCTGGAACCAATAACAAGATTTACATGACCGCGAGGAATAACGCAAGCGAGAAGAGAGGGGCGAAGAAGATATAGGCGAGACGATGGTTGCACCAGAGAATCGTTCAACCGTACGTGCGCGCACGCATCAGCTTTTTTCTGAATTCTCCGCGAGCTCGACATACTGCGTGTCGCGTCTACAACGTCGAAAATTAGTAACAGATCGTAAACATGTCCGTCTACCGCGCAATATTTCAACTAATATTTGCATTAGCTTGCATATTCACGAAACCAGTGTTCACCTACGAGCTGCCGGATCCAACTTTTGAAGTGTTAACACCGCGAGGTCTTCGAGTTTCCATACCTGGTGGGTCTCGCGCGAGGATCAGTGCATAATGCGGAAGGAAAGGATGTGACAATCAAGAAGTCTTATCGGGAGGATCGTCGTGACTCGTAGAAGCTTCCTTGACAGTCCTGAAATTATAGAATTTTATTTAGTTCGATGTGTAGGATTCGTGTTCTAACGTGAAATAAGTTTGTCTGCGCTCGCGATTTTACAAATGCAATCTCGCAGAATATGCAAAAATAACTCGCAGTTTTTTTTTCATAAAAAGTGATATTCTTGACATATGACGTTTTTTCCTCAAGCAATTTCCTGTTTATCTCGCTTTATTATCCGATAACTTGTTAGTTCGAATGAATATAATAAACAGAGGACACTGAGCGTTTAGTCGTATACTTTTGGAATTCCCTGGATTTATCAGCTCATTGTATTTCAAGAAATATTCGGTTATTTGCGGTTTCTCTCAGAACGATCGGTCGATCTTATCATACATAACGACGTTAAACGTGCTACTATCAAACAAGTTGTCATAAGATCAACGATTATGCGACCTCTGACTAAGCTTTAAATTATAAAAATCTTAAACTGCAACGGCATTACGCAATTTGTAACATGTTAATTTTCCAATATAATTTCGTTTTCTCGAAATATAAAGAAGAATATAATTATTTTATAAAAACAGATTGAGATTGATTGATAGAGAGCAATTCTTATACGAAAAATAAATTAATAATATCGAAAATAGTAACATCAAGAATGAATTTATGTTCTACTTAAGCGTACTTAATTGCTCACACTTGTATTTTTATCGGATTTATATTGTATGTTATACACAGAAGAAAATATATATATATATATATATTTTACTGTTGACATATATATAAGAATGAGTATATATAAGAATAAGATTACACAGTGTTAAGCAAAAATAAGTTATTTGTATCAATACAAGTTATATGATTCGACAGAGAAAAATATATTATTATTCAAACATAATTGTTAAGAATAAAAAACACAAAATTTTGAATTGAGAATATAATACTTTTAAATATCGGAAGAAGACATTATTATCACTAAAATAATCATATTATACTTCTTATGAAATTATTATAATATTTAAACAAAATTATAACATTATTGAAATTCAAGATTTTAAAATTCTTCTATCAAAATTATATATAGTTGCTTAATATATGAAATAATGATTGTTCATTTGAGTACATTAGTTCTAAGTAAATGCTAGTTTTTTCTGTGTATATATGGAATTTTTATATATCTGATAATGCGTATTATGCATTGCAGACGCACCGGGTTTGCGAATATTTGGATTTCACGCCAACATCAACAAGGCGATTCGTTCTACACAGCATGGCGATGTAGCCGGTGACGTTTACGTAGCGCGAAACGGGCGCTGGACTTATGAGAACTCGGCGGTGCAGATAAAAAACAGAGATGTACTTAATTATTGGATTTACGCGCAAGTGGACGGGGCGAACTACAAGAAGCAAGGCCAGACGTGGACATATTCCCGTAAGATTACTTACGCAACCCTTCATTCGCGAGTAAAACTAATAATGGTGTTACGATAATGACAACGTACGTTGAATTAATAACAGCGTTTGTCGGCCAAGAGTCCACGCCAAACACAGAACAAAGCGCCACGTCGACGAATGTAATTTCAGCCGGCGGTCAACTGCTATTCGAGGATCATTTCGATACCCTCAACGAATCATTATGGAACCGCGAAATAAAAATGCCATTAAGTCCGGTGAGTATGCCGAGCCTGTCTTCCATCATAGAGCTGCTAAAAGTGTAACAATAAAACACATGTAAATCCAATTATGCATACAAACAGTGGAGGTCCGAAGGGCAGCGTGCGGTGAATCGTTCTCGTAAATCATTTTGTATTCTGTCCCGATCAGGATTACGAGTTTTGCGTGTACCACAACCAAAACCATCTGATGATCGTGCGAGTCAAAGGCGGTCAACTTCTCTTAAGACCCATTATACTGGAGGACTCTTATGGCGAGAATGCAACCACATACGGAAGATTGCAACTTAACCAGTAATGCAATCATTTGCGTAAGATAATGAGATAAATTTGCATGACTGTGCACTTGCATAAGCATCCTTCTGCTGTACATTTTGTTGCATCCTACTTTGAAATTTTCTCCGACTCTTAGATCCGTATTAATATTTATTACCTGGAACTTGTGTGTGTGTGTGTCTCCAGTGAAATACTCAGATTTAAATTTAAAGTTACATTTTTTAGTTGAATCACGATTATAGTATGAATATCACACATACAGAATAATCTGACGCTACGGCCCGATTCCATCAATGTCGATCAAGCCTTAAACCGCGTTTAAACTATTTGAAACAAAGACAAACTCAGATCAAGGCCCAATCAACGTTGGTGGAATCGGGCCTTAATGTCCCGTATCTCGTGTTCATTATTATTTTCGTATTCGTAGATTAGTTAAACTGAACTTAAAGTTGCTCTATCCATTTTGCAAATAAGCACGTAAAATTGTGAGCTATTAATTAAAAAAGATGGACAAATAATCACAGGCGCGATATGGCAGAGATGAGTGACGCCTATCTTCGTGTACTTGTAGATTAAATCAAACTGAATCAAAAGTCTTCTACTATTTTACAAATAACGAATAGATTTTTATTAGTTATTAATTAAGGGACATTATCGCGCATGTGATTATCCGCCAATTAATACAGGTCTTAGTATTTGAAAAAAAACCATCACATCTGCACTCTTATCGAGATAAACCATCTTCTTCAGGTGCACCAGCGACATTCCGTTAGAATGTACGCGACGAGCATTGTCCTACAACATCCTACCGCCTATAATATCCGCACGTCTCACCACGAAGCATCACTTCGCTTTTCAATACGGAAAAATCGAAATACGCGCCAAGTTTCCACAGGGCGACTGGTTATACCCAGGTAATTACGTGCAATTAACTATTTACTGCGAACAGAATAAAAGGAAAATCGTACCAATATTTGTTCTCTCATATAATTTTGCTAGAAATGTGGCTCGAGCCGAAATATTCAACGTACGGACAGAATTACATAAGTGGCCGCGTTCTTCTGGGTCAGACGCGCGGTAACGAGAATCTGATAAACGCCACGGACCCGTCGATGATTTACGACACTAGGCGATTAGACTTTGGCGTGAGGTTGGGCGTGTCACCGCACATCCAGGAAAAACTCGTCTCGAAGATACATGAATTCGGGCCACGATGGACACAGGATTTCCATGTGTATACGACTATTTGGAATAACAACGGATTTACGTTTCTGGTGGACGAAGAGGAAGTCGGCCATGTAGGACCTAGCTTACTAGGATGGATGCCAGGCGAAAGCACTTACGGGAGGAAGAAATCTGCTCCGTTCGATCAAGAGGTAAACGCCTTGATAACACATTAACCTATAATTAATAATTTCATGATCAAAATATTATATACGCCTGAGTGTTTTTGCTACTTATTAACAAATTTTTCGTCACTGATTATATGATACTGATATTTAACCGCAAGAAAATTACATATTATATTAAAAATTATTTAAATATATATAATATATAACTTTTTGTTATATAGATTAATAATAAAATCGCTTACTCCTGACGTTGAAATCCAATGTCGGCAAAATTATATCGTAAGCTTGATTACTTTACGATGAATGCTTCCCTGCTTCCATTAGATACTTATAATTCGTTTGTTGAATAGTTCTATATCACTCTCGGCGTCGGAGCAGGCGGGGTGCGCGTATTCCCGGATGATACGAAGAGTTTTGGACGTCCGAAACCATGGAGCAACATGGACCCTAAGGTAACAGACGCTTCAATATAGTTAGTGTTATAACTTCTGCTCTTAACAAACAAACATCTCAAATTTTCCCGTCCTCCTTTTAAACATGTGAGATTCTACGTGAGATATTTCGACTTCCATTACAGTCAATGCTGCGCTTCTGGAACGCCCGGAGCCAGTGGCTGCCGAGTTGGAGGCGGGACAACGGCGAGAAGACTACTTTCGTGATAGATTACGTTCGAGTGTGGTCCCTTTGAATCTCTCCAGCTCGTACTCTTCGCCTTTTTGATTACTCGTATTATTTCTTATCATTCATATTATCCACAGCAGTAGATCGTATACTTTTGCATGACGATTACGACGCATGCTATACATTATTCGATACCGCCGTCGACATAACGAGACAAGGTCTTGAGAAAAATTGACGAGAACCATCCCCCCTCGACGATGGCAGAAGATTACAGCGTTGCCTGCAATTTGTTCTGGTATCCGAGATCTTCCTGGCGAGGCATAAAATACTTCTTTTTTTTATCAGCGTAACGCAATCAGAGAGTTTTGTAATTGGTCTGCTCGTTTCTATAAAAGGGCGAACGGTGCTCCGCGAAATCGGAAAGAAATTCAGGGTCGCCCGGAGCTGGTTCTACCTTTAATGCTCGTGTCGTTAGCCGCGCAGACGATCATCCTCCGATAATGCTCTTGCCGATCATTGAGCGAACATAAAAATTTCTTAAGCAACGTGCGACCTTTATGAAGGACGTCTCAGATCGTTCCGGCGAATTTCCTCAAGTTACCGTCGTTGACAATATCGTGACATGTGTCCATTAATTTTTACTAATGATATTCCTTAAATTATCGTTATTCTTTAGCTTTCACTATATAAATGTACAATACTCATTTTTATATCTCTTACATTACAGTGACAATAATAAAATAAATAAGCGCAGCACAGTCACATCTTAAATTTATCGCACCATTTCACGCGTGGGGCAATGCGATTCGTATATCTCGCGGCTATAAGAATGGCTGTTAGATTTGATAGATTGCGGGTAACTGACTGCCAAGGACACACCGTGATTGGCCACGGTTTTACTCGGAAGTTCCGTTCTCTTTGTATCGCGCGGGTGATCGTCCGGAGAGCTCGAGAGCGAAAAATTCGCCCGCGAGATTTCGCTCGGGCCGATCTCCCTGACGCGCGAAAATCTTCTAAGCAGACACGTGAGGAAACCGGACGGAGAAAAAAAATGATTAAACGTAACGCTGGCTCCGACTTTCGACCTAGTCCATCCTTCAAACCGGTTTACCTCGGTTTCCAACATTGGAAACAAGAAAAAAGGGTCTACGTGCAGTTTCTTCCGTCTGCTTCACGGTATCGCGCTTAACGCCGGCCAGAGCCAATTAATTTAACATCCATGTTAGCGCGCACACGTGCGTTATACCATCGGTGGCGCGCGATCCCGAACAAAAATCGCACGACCTCAGAGGTTCGGCTTCGACGGCTCGTCCGGTTTCGTTTGCTCCCTCTTCCACGCGGCGAGACTTTTTCCTCGCCGTCGACAGTCGGCCGATAGCTCGCGCAGTAGCCACCACGATTTTCTCCCATTGTTCGCGCGACAATTCAAGCCGCTTTCAGCACGCCACGCATCGGCCCTCGCCGAATGTTAATTTAGTTTTTGCCACCCATCGCTTGACGCGGCTCAATAGTCGTCTGTGCGTTTGCGAGACCTGCTAACGGGCGATGACACTAAAAAAATTCATTGTCGCTTCGATTATTCTTATTTGGGCCGGTGATTCTTTGGCGGATCATCACCGTTCAAGGCGATCCAGTAAGTGGAAATTTCGAGTGGCAGCTTTAGAGTTGTCCAAAGCGAACGTCATACCTCGACTAAGTCCAAAATCATAACATTCGTAAATTATAAATGATAACAAACATAAAATTGCCAAATTATATACAAATATGAAATTCTTAAGAATATTTAATTCATAATAAATCTTTCTTTCAATTATTCTTTGGGTTGTGTAATAAGTAATCTTGAATTTTTCAAGTCTCTCATTGAAAGAGAATATCTAAGAAATAAAAAATATAATAAATATGCACGAAAGATTACACCTCACCGATTTTGTTGAAACTGATATATATATTGTAAGGGGGTTAGAAATGATTTGCAAAAAACCAGATGAGGAATGGTATTGGTTTAGAAGATATAACAAATTAAAATTTGATAATTTTAATGTCTTTCCTTAAGTATTATAAACTGCTCTAGAAACAATGAGATTTGTGTAAGTCATACTAATCTATTAGGTGTCTTCTAACATAAAAAAAAGTTTTTGATTATATTATTTGAAGGATTTTATTTTATCACAACAACCAATGTCGACCCCATTTGGTTCTTTTTGCAAATCTTTATTTCTAATTGTTGTCCCTACAATATATATCAATTTCAACAATATCAGTAAAGTAACTTTTTATGCATATTTACTAAAAACATTTATTTGATGTATTATATACACACATATACACACGCGCGCGCGTGCACGCACACGCATACGCACATACACACACACATAATATTTACTTAAACCAATATAAAATAATTTTAAAATAAGAAAAAAATACATTTTCTTAAAATCTTAGCTTTTTATAAAAGCAATAATTTATTCTATTTAAATAAAAAAAATTATTCTATTAAATAAAAAAATTCTATTTAAATAAAATTTATTTAATATTTTTTATTATTCTATTTAAATAAAAAATTTAGATTTAAGTAAATATATTATTAGCACCCACCTAATTAAATTTTTTTAGAATCTCTTTCTCAGTATAAAATGAAATCATTTTTATGTTGTTATAATTTTATAAAGCATTTTATATACTATTTTGATCTATGATCTTTCGTTATTTTTCGCATATATTGCTTCAGAAAATTGAAAATGACGCCATAAAAATATAAACGTTTCTCATTATACTTGAGAAATCTGCAATTATTTATTATACAATTTAATATATTATATACAAAACATCAGAAAGATTTGCGTACTTATATGATACGTAAATTGAAAGAAAAACATTTAAAAGACATTTGCAAGATTAAAATATTTTTTAAGTAGCTTTACGACATCTTTCAAATATGTAGTCAGACTAGTGCGCACATACATGTGACACGTCAAGATTTATTATCCATTAGTTTTAACAAGAACATCTTTAACGCATTTATCGCGCATATTAGAGTCTTTGATTTTAAATCGTCTGTCGTTGTTTACGACGTGTATCAGTTTCTTCATCTCACAATTGCGTTGAATAATTGAGAAATATGATTGAGAGCGTCGTTAATACATTTCGTTAACACATATCGTCAACTTGGAATCAGCTCTGCGTATACACTTATATAAGAACTAATTGATTAAAAATCGCATATTTACGTGAGAATCCTATTGCAGCGAATGAGTATATACTACACAGATGTACAGCCACCGCGGAATTAATTAGAAGACATAGAAACGAAGGAATGATTGATGTTAACTCACGCCAAGCCGACTTATCCCAATCGCAGATACAATGGAGAAATCATGATTCTACAGCAACAAATCCTCTGACTAATGTCTCTCAGCTGGAAACTCCTAGACAAACTTCCAGCAGTGCAAAACGACGTACAACACACATAAGAAGGCGCGGTAACGCGCACGCACGTCGCATTATGGGCAAGTATTTGGCAGACACACCTCTCAGAACTCTGCACATCGACGCACCGCAGGACAGGCCGTCGGCCTTTAAGAAGAAGACTGCATTGCCGGAACTAGCGCACGATGCGTCCGACAGAAAGATCGATTCGTCGCAGAATGTGATAGTCATTCGACCGAGAATTTAACATCCTTCCAACGGTGCTCAACTTACACTTGCGTTCTGATTTTCTTGTGAACTGACAACTTTACGATGACTATCGTATTATCTGTAATCACAATCTTACACGCATCGAAATTCATATAACAAAAAATACATAACATTGAGATTTGTAACAATTCCTCTGCGGTTTGTCAATATTGTCTTCATTTGTTTCGTTGTTGATACTGACAGACAAGTTTAATACAAGTTTATGTGAAACGCGTTTGTTAACGTGATTTAATTATTTTGAATAAACGAACTTTGAATAGATTTTTTATATAATTTATATCGAGCATCTACAATATAAGTTCTACAATACAAAAAATTGCTCACAGTTATTTATATTACGTTTGAGACATTGCAGCTATGCTCTCTGGTAACTTTTCCAATTCAATCTGCAAACAGAAATTCCTACGTGAGCCAAACAACAATGACAACTCTTCTACATGTATATGGTGTCTAAAAATTATTGGCACACCCATAATGTTCACATGGTTATTTGCAAAATGATATGACTATTTTGTTCAGTTTGACCCAATCTACAAGCATATAATTACAGGCGTCATCACAGCTCATCTGTCATATCGCATGTGATTATTTGCTAGAACTTTTTCTTTAATTGGTAACCCAAAATTTTACGTTATTTGCGAAATTGTAAAAGAATTTTGTGTTTAGTTTTTTATCTATACATAATAGGTGGTCAATAATTGTCAGATATATTAAATAATTATCAGATTGCCTCTATATCTCTTTATATTTATGTTATAAAAATCAGACCTTGGTTACTTTCATCGCCACTCCTTCTGGCAAATTCCTTTGTAAATATTCTAAAAAAGTATCTGCTGTAGATCCAGTTAGTTTCAAAAAGTCGAGGTAACGATAATAAGTTCTGATTTCATATTGAACGCGATGTTTCTTGTGTACATGAGCTGATTTCAACACTGTCCATCGTTCATGAATAGCCTTACGTGGTGCTGTGCTGCAAATATAAAAACATTTTTCAGCACATTAGTTGTAAGATCAACCAATAAATATAACTGAAGAACTAACTTTCTAGCTACATTGATTTTTAAATGATCTGCAGCCATTACTGCAAACATTCCATAACTCTTTAATACAGCTGGATCATTCCCTCTGACCTCAACTTCAATCTTCTTATACAATTTATCTGGTGTACCCTAAAGACAATACGTTCTTGTATAAATATATTATTCATAAATTGATCGTAAAATGATAGCAGATCTTCAAAGAGTTTACCGTGCTGTTAAGTAAGGATGACTCTTCCTTAGTTGAATCTTGTTGCACATGTTGTATAGTTGTTGAGAATTGTGATGTGCTACTTTGTAGAAATTTACGCGTAAGATTACCAACGTGTTTTGATTCATATTGGACACCAGCTACAATATTTCTGAGAAACATGATCTGAAGAAATTAGAGAAGAATTAGGTTAGGTTTAACCTCAAATAATTCACACACATCGTCTTGCATTAGATATATCAAAATACCTTTGACAGGAACATTTGTTGTCGTTATCGATACTTCTGCAAGTTCAACTCCAAATTATGTTACTCCAAATGTTATAGATTTACTACTTTTACGACTCACTTAATGTAAACATATCCATTCACTGTACAGACAACTCAACAAGCCAACATAACCGCAGCTAGAATCGTATAACAGTAGTATATAGTGCATCTGATTCTGACGTCACATCATAATTATGCAACAACCATAAAATATTTCCCCGACATTTGTGAAGTTGTGATGCTAACCATTAAGATTAAATAATCTTATAAGTTGATACAATTTATTTTGGTGATAATAAACTAACATTATCAATGTTTTATAACAGCACAGAGATAACGAAGTTAAATATTTGTATAAATGATTACATTGGTTTTATGAATTGCAAGATAATATTTGGTTTTTCACAAACAGCAAGACAATTCTCCTCATTAACAGAACGTGCATTTTCTTTTGACGAGAAAATCGATTAAAACATGCCAATTTAAACCTACAAATAAGTATCAATTATATAATTCTTTCCATTTCTTATAAATTATTTGTAAGACTGTCAATTCTGATAAATTACAAAGCACATATTCGGCATATAAATACTCGTCTCTGTTATAATTGATCTGTAAATATATTTTTTATTTTGTTAATTATATATATGTATATATATATATATATATAGAATATTTCGAATATATATAAAATTCGTGGGTTACATATAAGCACTAATAAATAATTGCATGCCTATATCTCACCATATATTTAATTTATAGTCACGAATCTACCTTAGTAAAAATTGTAACTTTTTCGGTATATTTCATAGATTCAAATTCATAAAATATATAATATGCTGTTAAAATTGATTCATTACTTAACACATTTAACACATCAAGTGCCACATCACCCATATTTGCATAACGCATGAATTTCAGCAGTAACAAGTTTACTTATCCAATTAGGAGTGATTTTGCCAATCAAATTTTACCTAATTGGATATCTAATTGGCAATTTTTGTGATTAATAATTCGATTCATTGATATACAACCACACGTAGCGGTTGAAAATTGAATTCGACGTTTACATTCACATATAACGTTTCCAAGGCACTTAATATGTTAAATTGTACTAATGTGCTATCATTGAATGTATCATTGTATACCATAACAAATTGTATCATTATGATAAACATAAGTAAGCATAAACTAAAATAAAAATGAAAAAACCAACAATCTTACAAAACATCGAATTACGATTAGACATTCTAGTGATCTAATTATTCTAATTGAGTAATTTTACTCAACTTATTATATTTGTTGTGATAATAATCTGTTTATTATGATAATGTATGTATATATGTATTCTTGTGTAATAATGACATTTTTTCAGAAGAAAAAAAAAAGAAAAAAGAACCGACAATTTTGCACATAATGAAACAATGTGATGACGCAAAATAACATCAAACAATTAGGTAATCTAAGTGTTTTACAACGAAGTATCTTATTTAAACATCTTATCTAACGTCGATCCTTAAACATATTAGTGTTGAAGGGCCGTTGCGACTGAAAGTTGTTGTTGTAGGTTGATGATTGCTGCCATGTTCCAACGTTACTGCCTCCTCCTTGCCAACTAGTCGACGGTGCTTTCTTATTTGTCTCGTTGGGAGTTAGCCAGCGCGAATCGTTCATGCTCGAATTACTGCTGCTTTGGCATTGTGGCTTCGCTGAGAAAGTTTGAGACTTGTTCTGCCAACTATCTTTGGACTTCGACCACGAATCTCCCTTGTCCGTCTCCCTGGACCAATTGGACGGCACAACGATTTGATTGTCGACGTTCATCCACCTTTCCTTCATTTCGAGATTGCCGTCATCGCCCCAGGGATCTCGCGCGTCCTCCGGCAGTTCATTCCAATCGTCCTTGTCTCCTTGATTCCAAGAGTCGTTAGACTGCGGCTGTTCCCAACGCGGCATGTCCGCGTCCATCCAAGTTTCCTTACGACCGCCCATATTGTCCTTCCCTCGAATATTCCAATTATCGCCATTATTTCCTGATCTGGACGGGCCAGACCATCTATTGTTGTCTGAATTCTGATTCCATTGTTCTTTCATATTAGGCTTCACGAGTGGTTGCTTAGACGCCCATGAATTCCCGTGAGACGTGGAATCTCTGATATCCCAAGATCTATCTTGTTGGTTCTGCGACTTGCGGTATCTGTCATTGTCAGAAAGTTGCCAATTTCCGCTGGTTGTCGACTGTCTGTCGTTACGCCAATTGTTTTCGTTTACGGGATGTTGCCAAATGCCTTGCTCGACAGCGCCACGATTTGGTATGTCCCACTCGTCCGCGAATCTGTTTTGCGGCGGGCTCTGTCGCCTCGGCGGAGACTGCTGTCGCCTTGGCGGAGACTGTTGTCGCCTCGGTGGAGACTGCTGTCGTCTTGGAGACGACGAGAATTCACGTCCAGGAGGCATTCTATGCGGCGAGGAACGTCTTATAGGCGACTGATGCCTCGGCTGCATCATGCCTCTAGATCTCGGCGGAGACAACATTCTGCCGACGGGCGACATGGGTCGCCTTTCCGGAGAGACATGCCGTCTCATAGGGGACATCGGCCTGTGTCTCTCGGGAGACACAGGTCTCCTCATAGGAGACATCTGTCTTGTTGACGAGCTGTACATTCTCACCGGAGACATTTGTCGTCTCGGTGGAGACAGGCTCGAAGTTTGCCATGACGGTGACATTTGCTGCACCGGAGACATTGGCCGACACTCCATTGGAGAAATCTGTCGCCTCGGTGATGACATCGGCCGCCTCGACGGTGACATTGCTCGGTTAGATGGTGAGAACGAGCGTCTCGGTGGTGACATGTCGCGTCTACCACCGCTAGATGATGTGGACAGTGACATCATATTTCGTCTTTGAGGCGAATATTCGCGGTGAGAATGAGAATTACGTCCTTGATACGAAGATAACGAAGGCGACGAGATCGGTCTGTCTGAAAGATGTCTCCTAGACGGCGAGGACTGACGTCTTGACGGTGACAGTAACGGGCGTTTTGGCGATAATCTTCTCGGTGATGAACGGTGCCTGAACGGTGAGTTCTGCTTTCTCATCGGAGAGACAGGTTTTCTCGTGGGTCCCGCGGTATCGCTCCAGCGATTTCTGTCGAAACTTTTGTTCCTATTCCAAAAGTTGCCTTGGTTCTGTTGTCTGCCTCTGTTGTCGAACGATCTCTGATAGAAGTCCGGTTTTTTAGTGTTTATATCTGTTGTCAACGAGACCGGCACCACCCTGCTTGGCTCTAACGGCATTAAGTTATGATATTTCCTGAAAGGCGGCTTCACGTCGGTCTCGGATTCCATGTATTCTTTGTTCGCCGTTGTTATGACGATATCTTGAGCCTGAGTCTCCTGCACGAAGCGACCTTTCAGAAGCGGATCGTCATCGAGCTCGGTCTTCACCTGAACCGTACTTTGTGTGGTGTCAGGTGGCGCGATGCGATCCCACACCGAGCGCGGTAGCTGATTCTGAAGCTTGTTGGTCTGCTCGAGAACCAAATTCAGGACATTTTGTAATTCCTTCGCGGTCGTCACGTCAACGGTGGGAGACGGACCGCTTAGTTTCTCTTTGGCCGCTTCGAGAATCTCCCGGCTTTCATTTACTTTTTGCACTAAATCCGTGTCGATTCTGTTACTCGACAATTTTGTACGCAGGTCGACTTGCTCTTTATCTCTTGTTTTTTTGTCGAATAAAGGATTAATACGAAGCGCTGAGTTATCATGAAGCCAATTCTTTCTCTTAGCTGTAACATCTGTGGTCAATGAGAAAAATTAACAAAAATTAGACGTATTATATAATAATACTCGTGTGAACGCTCTATTTTAGATTTACACCACTAAACTTACCCTGCTGTTTCCACTGTTTGTTATATACGGGCTTGTCGAATTTTTTCGTTATTTTCTTAGGTATTTCGATTATTTCAGGTGATTGGTTTTCTCGTTTCAGTCTGATTTTACCTTTCACCGGTGAACTCGAGCCGCTTTTCACGGAGCTCGTCTTTTTCGGTTTTTTCACGAATCCGGTATTCGCTAACGGATTCTTTTTCGGCGACGTGTCGACAGTATCGACACCGCTGCTATTATTGATCTCTTTCTCTAAAGCCCTAGTGTTCTCCAAGGATTTACTCTCTTCCTCCAGTATCTTGAGGAACCACGGCTGCGTGAGTCTATGCATGAGTCTGTGTTCCATTAGAATAACCGCCTCGAAATGAGGCCCGTTCGGCAGGGTATCGACAACGCATGCCCGGGTCGGCATGAAAGGATGACCGAGCCCATCTTCGATAGGCCGTGCGAGTTCTAATACCGCACGGACCGATTGTTTTGTCAACGTAGTGACCATTACGATACGCCGAAGAGACGTGAGTTTTCTTAAGCATGTCATTACTTCAACGGCTAAAAGACATCATAACTTTAGACTTTAATTTACCGAGAGAGATTATTACCGGGAGAGTGCAACCGGGACGTTACTAAATTAATGTTACCAATTAATTAATGCCGCGATAATACTAACAATATTAACGATTAATTAGGATCGATGTAGCATACCTCTGCCCATATTGGTGTTCGCGTTGACTATGGCGTAAGTCGCGTGATTTTTCACGGCGTTATTTATTTTATTCACCACGTCGGCTGGAGAGCCCATTATGAAAGACACATTTGTAAAGTTATTCAATTCACACGTCATTTCGGCTTCTTCGATTTCCGTCGGTGAATCAACTCCTATCACTTCCAGACATTTCTGTTACAATGTAATAGCGCTACATTAATCGTCTTGTTAATTCGCTCGGTGTCGCGCGAATTCTGTGTGCGCACACGACCATACAACACAGGATATAACACACATCAATCGTGCCATTCGGTTCGCCTAATAAGAGATTCGCTTACGTTATGTCCCGTGTTAGTGTACTTACAGATGCCATCATAAGTCCAATCACGCCAGTGCCGCAGCCGATTTCGAGTACTGTCACTTTCGGCGTAGGTTTAAGCATGTCCATGACTGCTTTGGCTACGTTCAATGCGCCAGCAGCATTCGACCAAAAGTTGGTCTTTGGTGAGAGCTGTACTTTCAGACTGCCGACGACTTCGTCTAGAGCTTCTGCTCCCACTAAGAACGTCGTGTTTGTAATGATTTTATTGTTAGCGCATCTGAAACGAAGGCAATGAGACTGCAGATTTCCGTCAGTTGGAGCAGAGTTCTCTGTCTTGTATGTTGAGCTCTTACTTGTTCATCGATTTGCAATACAGAGATTTGACATTGCAATCTTTTCCCGGACCCGACTCGTATATCTGTTTCAGACGGTCCATAGTGCTGCGGCTGATATTCTTTCCAGTTGCGAAGAGCATGAGCTCATCCATACTATTGCAACGTACTAACAGCCACATCCATATTTGTTTTATTTGCACCACGTTTTCTTTCGAATCCGTAGGCGTGTCGTTCGATGGATTTTCATCAGACGTTGCTGTGTCTAGTGACGGCGTTACGGTTGTTTGAAGAAAATCTTCAAATATCTACACGCCAACGATCGATATTACAGCAAATATGTTATACCTAGTTGATATCGTGCCTTTCCCCGCGCGTTAATTTGTGTTTACATTTTTTTTTAAGACATATACAAAAGCTAAGTTAAAAACTTAAAATTAAAGACTTGCAAAAGCATGATATCAGTTATTGCAATCAATCGCTATTATATGGCCAGAAATTGAATTATTATTTCATTATTATTTTATGTTGTATTTATTTTATAAGATTGCTTTCTAGCATCTGGACAAACTTGTGCATTCTACACAAGCTTTGTATAAAATTGATTTATTCTTGAATGTGCATAATCTATGCCATAAATACGAAATATTTGTGATGTTTTTATTGTTTTGCATAATCAAACACATTGTGCTTAGCTGTATATAGTTGTATTTTTCTGTAGGTTTAGTTTATTATAACCATATTTTTGAATTTGCACATATATCGTTTGCATCGCAAATTTTTTCTTGATTTGCAGTGCTTATTATTTGTAAGACATTCGTGTAAAATTGCAAAGATTGCTTGGTACTAATATGTACCATGTATATGTCCATAATTACTTTTTTTTCATTTGTTCAGTCACTCTTTCTTCATTTCTCTTTAAAAAATATATTCATACTTATTTAAGGCAATGTTTATATATTTAAAGAAATGTACAGTAAAGATAAATATCAGAAAATATATCTGATATTATTTTTTAACATTTTTGTGTCCACAATATCGTGTAAATAATAAACATTGCAAAAATTTTTTTGAGATTCTATCTTTCTTTTCTTTGTTCTTTTAAGACATCATTTTTTACATTTATATTCTTCTCACAAAGAAAATATTGCATATCTTCCGTGACGAAATACGAGGAAGTTATTATTTTTTTTGCTGACATTTTGCAATCTTATGGCATTGGCAATATTTTGTTAAGTGCCAATAAGTCATTCTGTTGTGTATGCAATAGCATAAAAATTATATCTTCAGATTTCCCTTATTTTTCTTTTTTTGTATGTTCTTTTTTGCAACTATATGTATGTTAATTATATGTATGCAATTATATGTAATTTGTATGTTCTTTTTTCTTTTATTTTCTTTTTTATATGTTCTTCCTCTTTTGCATGTTCTTTTTTGCAATTATATGTCATGTTTTCATAAGATTAATTATTTTAAAAATACACTTTGTGAATGTCTGATGAAATTTTCTCTTTGTATGTTCTTCCTCTTTTATATGTTCTTTTTTGTAATTATATATGTTATATGTTTTCATAAGATTAATTATTAAAAAAAATACACTTTGTGAATGTCTGATAAAATTGCATATTTTTTCAGTGTCTTGTTTTTAATATATTGTTATATTAAACAAATTTATTTCTTTTGTAGAAGCTCGCACATATTCATAATTACTGCTCGTAATTATATAAATCTGTTTCAGTCAAATCTGATACTGTCATATAAGACAGTAAATGTTCTCAAAGACATACATAGGTTTAAAAAACTAATTTTATGAATTATACAGCAAAAATACAGATTTACAAGAAAACACAGTATTTAGTAATAAAAAGTGAGAAAAGAAAAATAGAAATTATTTTAAATATAAAAGATATACCTTGACTGCTTTTAATACGAAGGACGGAAATTCGGATGTGTTATTGATATCAACACCCCATGCTGAAGTTGGTTCAAGATGCCAGACTGCCTTGTTAAAGGATGGGTTATCCTTTTCCACCGCAGTTGCCTGCATATCTTTCATTATGCCTAAATATACCATATTGTATTTATTACATGTTTATTAAAAGAATATTAAATATCACATATTTTTTATATTTTTCTAATAAAAAAAGATATAAAGAACATTTTATTATGGCATGTGACATATATATTTAAGTGGAAATTTAAAAAATATTTCAAGCAATTTCAACATGGTTAAGCATTTTCATATTAACCATTTCTTTTTATACTCACATTCAAATTTCCATCGGTTTGTATGTGGTTTATCTAATGGACAACATCGAAAGGGATCAAGCTTGCACATTGGTGATCCTTCTTTCTTTTCTATTCTTTCTAACCATTTCTCATAATGAGGATAAGTGATTCCTAATACTCGAGCCAATTTTGATAGTCTTTCTTTAACAAGTGCCTCTTTATCTGCAATCTAAAAAAATAATTTTGTTAATTTCAATAATTATAATATTTCTTGCATTCTTTAAACAGTTTCCTGTATTCATTTAATTAAACAATAAAATAGTTATGGGATATTACTTTTTTTTTATACCAGTTTTCTTTTATTCCTTCTCTCATTTCATTAAGTATTATTACTTCTTCATGCTGTGTTTTTCCTCCCATATTTTTGGAAGATTGATTAATATCTTTTTCAGGTTTATCTATACCAAATGTTTCAGGATCCAATTCAATATTTTCAATTACATCCAAATGATTCATCACATCTTCATCTGTCAACTCTTTTTGTACATCCAATTGATCTAAGCTGATATCAGTGGTGAAGTCAATACAATCACTTTTTGATTGTTGATCACATTCTACTTCCATTGGAACTGGTTTATCTGTATTTTCAGTATGAGATGTTGCATCATCTATAAACATATATAATATATATTCTGTGCCATAAGCAAGAAATATCAATAACAGATAGCATATTTTTGATACTATAAAATTCATTATAACTAATAACTCTCGCTTCAATTGCAAAATATAAAAGTAGAATACTTTCATAAGACTTAATTACAGAAATGTATTCTTATGTTATGTAAATTATTCTTTTTATACTATTTATAAAGTATCATGTAATTTCTATATCATTCACATCCTGGGTAATGCCAATGCCTCAAAAGATTAAAAGATTATAACTTACAGGATCCTTAGTGGAAATAGAAATTTAATCAATTTTGCTACCAACTATCAGAACACAAGGTAAGAAATATCAGTTGCTGTTTAAAAGATTCAATATAATCTCAAAATATTAACACCTATATTCAAAGTTTAGGTTACCCTAAAATTTTTATCAAGAATATTCTAATTCATAGTCTCTATAATTTCTTCCTTTTATAGTCTCTATAATTCTTCATAGAATTCCTCATCGTATACATGTCCTTGCATTACTACAAATTGCAAATGATATTATACACACAAAATTTTAAGACAAAGTTCTATATTATACCACTAGTCTTAGGATTCTGTTCAGTAGTATCCATATGCTCTACAGCATTGTTTGCTTGTTCCACAACATTATCTGCCTGTTTCACAGCATTGTCTGCCTGTTCCGCAGCATTGTCTGTCTGTTCCGCAGTATTGTCTGTCTGTTCCGCAGCATTGTCTGTCTGTTCCGCAGCATTGTCCGTCTGCTCCACAGTATTGTCTGTCTGCTCCACAGCATTGTCTGTCTGCTCCACAGCATTGTCTGTCTGCTCTACAGCATTGTTTGCTTGTTCCACAGCATTGTCCGCCTGTTCCACAACATTATCCACCTGTTCCACAGCATTGTCCGCCTGTTCCACAGCATTGTCTGCCTGTTCCACAGCATTGTCTGCCTGTTCCACAGCATTGTCCACCTGTTCCACAGCATTGTCTGCCTGTTCTACAGCACTGTCAAATTGTGATACAGTACTTTCCAACTCTCCTATAGTATTATCTGATTGTTGTGTAGTATCGTCCGGCTGCTGCACGGTATCATCCGAGTTCTCGCTGTTCATAGCCTCCATTTGAGAATTTTGAGCTGATCGTCAACTGTCGATCGCTCAACGAGCCTGCTCTGCGTGAAAATAATAGAGTTATACAGAGCCTGCTCAAAACGGTAAACATGCGTTTATCATGCGTGTTATCGATAATTATATGACGTAATGCGGTGACTGGCAAGAGAAGCCACGAATCACTTGAACACGCGAACGCCGGTACGCCTGCCTAAGGATTCGGCTTACACGCGATTTCGATTATTTGCTCGCTAAGGACGATATAAGACCACTATCCTTACCATGCGTCAAGTGCCACACAAATAGGCGCACAGTGTCGAGCTAACTCAAAGTCGTGATTTCTCGCTCTTTCGCAACACTTTTCCCGTGTCCCCCAATCGTTCGACCGAACGCATAAAATATTAACTCTATGAAACAACGTGAACGCAAACCATAAACATAGCGCGCGATCCATTAAGCGCCGCAAACGCTTTGAAGTGCTCTTAAAGAGAAACCATGATTGGCGCTTCATGTATTTGTAGCGTCTAATGGATCGCATCTCTAAACCGAGTGTTGAAAAGAATGTAGAGGTACGTAGAAAAGACTTATAAGCCGCGTTCCAAAATTCTATTCGGTGGGTAGAGTACATTTAATTGACCAATCATGATAAAGAAATCCTAGTTATCTTTGTTCTTATTGGTCAATTAAACGCTAGTCTACTCCGAGTAGCGAAATTAACTCAACATCGTTCTAAAATATGGTGCAACGTACTAGATGGGCGGAGCCAAATCGTTCAGAAATTCAGAGTAGACTATCAGAGTAGACTTCAGAGTCTAAAGAACCTCTAGTACAGAGAATCGCCAACTTGGGGTGCGTTCGAAAACACTGAAAGTCCACGACGGAAAGTGGCTGTGGTGGATGGGCTTGGTGGGGTTAGTGGAGTTGGTATCGAGAGGAGTTTTTGAACAGCCATGGAGTGCGTTCAGATTCCTCATCCGGGTGCACTCTATTACTAGAAACACTATAGTATATGTGACATATACTATAGCACTTCTAGTAATAGAATACACCCGGGTGGGGAATCTGAACGTAGCCTGGAAGAATGCTCAATGTGACATACTACATGTGTGTTGTGCCTACATATGTGCTGTACAAAATGGCTAATCGAAAACGTATTTCGACATTAGCTATAATTGCTTCTCAGCAAAATAATAATAAATTAATAAATTTAGTAATTAATTAATTAATTAATTTAGTAATTATTAATTTATAATTTAGTTATCTGGAAAGTTAATTGGCTATATATTTCTCGGTCCGAGAACTCGGATCGATTTCTAGCATCGTGGGCACCAGGCCTAAGGAAATTTATAAACTTATTTATTACTCCTTACCTTTAACATCGTATATATAGACATTTCCCTTGTCATCCTTTTGTATATTTTTTTAAATATCCATGCATAAAATATGACGACCCGAGATTAAATTTTCCATTTTTTTTCACAAATTGTTACTGATTCGTGACTTTTAACGTGCCTCGTATCTCGTAAGAAAATTTCA